CTGTGCATGGTGGGTGCAGCCTCTGGCTGCCGCAGAGCCCAGCTAGGGCGGCAGGTGCCTCCCCTGTCAGCTGAGGCCCTAAGGTCCAGGTCCACAATGGACATGGCCGTGTCTGTGCCAAGGCCAGGTCTCCTGCCAGCCTCCTGGGCCTGGGTGCCACATGCTCCCACCTGACCACAGCCACGCCTGCTCTGCAATCTTCCAGCAGAGCCCATTTGGCTGCAAAGCTTAAGGGACAAAGCCCAGGACACGCAGGCAGGTCCTGGCGCCATCACAGCTACCGGCTGTTTTCCCACAGAGATGGTAGTCAGAGAGAGCACCTTGCTATGTGAGAAAGGACAGAGGACAGAGGAAGGGTGGGGACAGAGGACAGTGGCTTGGGGTGGGGCTGCTGCACCATCTCTGAAGAGCAGGTGCCTGGCAGACTCCAGTGGGTGGTCATACCGGCACCATGGGGCAGTGAGGGCAGAGGCCCTGGAGCAGGGGCCGCCCGGAGCACCCAGGGGACGGCAGGGAGCCCAGGATGCCCGCGGCCCAGGACTCATGGGCTGTGGCCACGCAGGGTCCCCGTCTTCTGTGTCTGGCCTTCCTCTGGCTGAAGTGGAACGTCTCTCTCAGCCCTCACAGAGCTGTCCCATGAGCAGCCACGCAACACTGGCTGGCGCAGGGGCACAGAAAACACAGCCTCCTGCGAGGATGAAAGCCCGGCTTGACCCAGGAGCTCCGGCCCAGGGAGAACTGGGATGGGTGGTGAACTTCAGCTGGTCCTTGGGCCTGGCGCCAGCTGCCTCGTCCCGTGGTAGCGAGGGTCGCGCAGAACCCAGCCCCGGCAGAGCCTACGGAGGCAGGAGCCCCAGTGGCCTCCTGGAGGCCTGCAAGCACAGCCCCCTCTGCACCTCACCCGTGCCCTGCCCCCATGCTCAGTGCCACCCTGACCACAAGGCCACGCATCGAGGACACCCCGCCGCCACCCGCCGGGCAGAGGGGCTGCCTCGGCCGATTTCATCAATCTCAAACTCGCCCCCGTGTCAAAGTGCACACCATTTCTTGTAAAAATGATCTGGCTGCTAATTAGGCTGTTTATAACTTGTTTCCCTGGTCGCTAATGATAATTAACATGCAAATTAGCTCGAGGAGGGGAGGCTCTGGGGCCCCTGGTTCATTACCACGTTAATTACTGTTTGCATACTGAAGTAGCCCAGATATAAATGGCGGCATTTAGTGTAACGGGCAAGATGATAATTATACCGATGGTATTTTGAAAAGTCATTTCACCATGTTATTTTTCTGTATGATTAATGATTCCCGGCTGCCTGGCTGATAAACTTCGTTAGCTCAAACCAATATAGGCTGTGTACACAAACCACTGGCCTGGCTCCCGGCACAGCGCCATCAATCTCGCCCTGTCCCTGTTGGTTCAAACTTTCGGGGGGAAGAAAAGGCAAAGGAGAAACTTAGGCTGCTCAGGGGCAAGCGAACTTCTGGACACTCTCAGTTTTAAAGGCCCGTTCTCCTGGAATCCACTGTATCTGGCATCAGCAGGCAGGTTCCGCTTAGGGTTGGAGTCGGGGGTCTGCCGGGGCACAGGGCGTTCCCACGGGGTAATTCCAAGATCCCGGTACTCCTGCTGGTCTCTCTTCCCTCCTCCTGCATGCGCTACCTGCCGGGTACCTGCTGCCCCTACCCTTCTAGGCCAGTATCCTGAGGACAGCCAACAGTGAAGAGGTAGGGGGCCAGGGAGGGGCTGGGCACTCTTGCAGGCAGGAGAGACAGCTGCAGCCTGGGCGATGAGGAGGGCTGAGCCCAGACTTCAGGGAAGCGAGGAGGAGGCAGGGAGACGTTTGGGGAGGGAGAGGAGGCTGCGCAAAGGCCCTGGGGCAGGAGCCGGCTTGTGGAGAGCAGGGGCAGTCGGTCACTGCCGGGCAGGTGCGCCTGGGCTGAGGGCGGAGGTATCGGGAAAGGGATGGGCCGACCTGCAGGCAGGAGCTGGGCAGGCGGCGTGCATGGTGGGGGCTCCTCGCAGGCAGCAGGCCGGGGGCAGCACGAGCAGCTGCGGGCCGGGACGGCTGAGGGCACGGCTGAGCCCCCCTCCCTGCGGCCTGTTGCCCAAAACGCGTGATCCGGAGCCACAGCCGCAGCCCCCACCTCAGAGCCGGTCCAGCTGTGGGGCTGGGCTCCGTGGCAGTGCCAGCGTGCAGACACCACATCCTCCTCCCAGCACCAGCACCCCCAGAGCAGGGGCCCCCAGCCCACGCCCGGCCTGACGCTGAAGCACGAGGCGGCGGCAGGTGGCGAGTGCAGGGCCGGGAGGCCTGGCTGTTGCATTATTGATCATGGTGCGGATGGAGCCCCAGGGGACAGTAGGAGGCTCCCGGCTCCGGCAGGTGTGAGTGCCCCCCCACAGGAAGCGGAGCTCACCGGCTGAGGGGACTGAGGCGCCAGGAGCCGGGCGTCAGCCCAGAGCACTGGGCTCCGTTAGCTGCCCCTCCTCGGCTACACAGGAGAAGCTGAAAGTTCATCTGGTGACAGCCAGGCCAGGCCTAGATCTGCCCGGGTCCCCAAACCCCGGCTCAGGTAGACGTCCCTGTTCCGTGGCTGGGGTGGGCCCCGTCGTCCGGCAGGGCATCCTCAGCCAGCATGGGGGAACACAGCTCCGGAGAGCAGCTGGGCCTGGTGTGGAGGGGACCTTGGGGCCATGGGTGGGGCCCCGGCTCTGATGAGTCGTGGTCATCAGAGGTCACGACTTGAGGTCTTGGGTGCAGCCCTGGGCCCAGCCTGCCCCCCGGCTAACCAGGTTGGCCGAGGCTAGCTGTGGCGAGTCTGTCCTCCAGGGTGAGGGTCTACAGCAAGGGGCGGGGGGGCAGCCTAGGTGGCCAGGGGAATAGGAGACCACACGCCACTGGCAGGCAGCTCAGGACTGGTTCCACGTGGCTCGGGAGTCCTGGGGTCAGCAGGGGTGGCCCTGGATACACAGAGGGGACCCACCTGGCAGGGAGGACTGCTCCCAAGCTGCTGGTCCTCACCAGCCACCCCGGGCCCAGGACGATTTCCCACTCGCTGGGCCCTGTGCTGGGATGGCCTCGGCATCCTGGCCTGGCTTCCAAGGGCATGATAGAAGCGGTGGTCGCTGACCTCCATTCCTGCACTGCATGTGCCCAGCCTTCCCTAACCTGCCCATCCCCAAAGGCACTGAGGCCAGGAAGGGCTGGGAAGGGTCCCCAGGGAATGTCACTCCATGCCTGGCCTGGCACCCAGACAGCCTCATGCTGGCCGGTGACTGCTGAGCCCACTGACCTCCTGCCCAGCGGCTGTGAGCACAAGGTGGCCTGCGCCCTCAGCTGTGGCAGCCCTGTCCTCCTACCCAGCTCCAGTCCCCCCTGCCACATGCTGGCTCTCAGGTGCAGTGAGTCTCCCAGGGCAGGAAGGGCTCAGCCACCTCAGGCGACCTGGCAGGGCTTCAGCAGTCCCCAGGGCCAAGGGGCCCACTGTTGTGCCGGCGTCTGTGGTAACAAGTGTCACCAGGGGCTGACTCACACCCCGGGTTCCCTGGTTCTAATGCAGCAGCGTGCTCAGGACAGTGTCAGTGAAATCCCTCGAGGCTCTGGGTGCTCCGAGGACGCCCCACCCCACCCAGCCTTGTCGCGGTTTTGACAGGCTCAGCATGCCCAAGATGCCAATTACGATCGCAAACGGTGCAGATCCTGCGAAGGTCCAAAAGGACGCAAATCTGCATGGCCGCAGCTGGCCTGGATCCTGACACCCCCAGACCACAGCCTTGGCTCTTGCCCACCCAAGGCAGCAGCGGCACCGGGCAGCACCTCAGGCCCGCTGCATGCGCGTGCTGCCCTCGGGTGGCGCTGTGATCATGCCCAGCTGGATGGTCAGCAGGCACATCTGGCCAGGCCTGCGGGCCTTGGGCTGTCTGCACCCGGGCAGATGCAGGGGACAGATCCATGGTTGCAGTTGGCACACAGATGTGCCACTTCAGTGCCCCGGGCCCAAGCCTGTGTGACAGCCCCACCCCATTACTGTGCGTGCCTAATCAGAGTGATTGAGGGCAAGTAGTCAAAGCACAGGAACAGGCTCCCTGAACAAGCCACATGCTCAGCTATGTGAATGTCAAGGAACTGAGGGGCAGCTGGCAGACAGGAGGACTCACCTGCCCTGAACCCCCGTCCCCTGACAGCCACTTCCTCAGTACCAGCGCCCAGGCCCCTCCCGGGGTGGCCAGTCCAGGCAAGACCTCAGAGGTCAGATGTGCTCCTCACCCCAGCATGCTCACACCGTTCCCAGAGCCCTAGAAGAGCCAGTGCCAGCGGCCCCGAGGCCCTGCCCAAAGTGGACCCTCTCCTCAGGGCCATGAGGCAGTGTCTCCTGGATCCTCCAAGGCAGCCGCTTGTGCCCAGCTGGGATACTCACAACCAGCTCCCCACCCTTCCTGCTGCAAGGGTGGGTGGGGGATTTCTAAAACAGCGCCCTCCTCAGCCGCTGTCCACACAACCCCAGGAGGTCATGGGGCCAGAGCGAGGGAGGCACAGGGAGCCAGTCGTGAGGCCACAAGGATCCAGTCCCACCTGTCCAGGGCAGAAACAGCTTTGAGGACAGGGATCTAGGGCCAAGTAGGGGAACACACATGAAGGGGGGGGTACAGGATCCTGGAGAGAGGGGTACAGTGACAAGGTCCCCAGAGCAGCCAGGGCAGAGTTCTGGGGCACAAATATAGCTCCAGGCAGAGTCAGCCCTGGAGCTGGTAGTTCCACCCTGGTACCCACAGGCCCCATAGCCCTGTGCCCCCCAACTCAGGCTTCTCTGTCCAAGCCTGCCCTGGGCATGGCCCTGCAGGAGGATGCCCTCCCCTCCCCCACCAGCGGCTCCTGAAGGGGGCCTGTCGCCTCCCCTGGGCATCGGCCACAAGGGGCACCTTGGAGCAGCCAGGCTCTGAGGGTGTTGATGCTCTCCCAGGAAACAGGATCTGCCTCCAGGGCCAGCGGCTTCCCTGAGCAGGGCGCCAGGCATCTGCAGGAGCCCCGGCCAGCACAGAAGGATTGGGGACAGGGCCCTTCCCTTGCCCAGCACATGGCCTCCAGTGGCAGCAGCCACAGGTGAGTGTGAGATGCTAAGGGAGAGCGGTGTGCACGTCTGTCGGTGCCTGGGAGGCTCAGGGGCTCTCTGAGCCGGGGCTGAGACCGGGCAGGGGTCCTAAGAAGCTGGGCCCCAGGTCTGGGCCCAGGAGCGCACCAGGACAGAGCCCAGTGGTGCTGGGCAGAATCACCCCGCCCCACCCAGGGCCAGGCAAGTGGCTGCAATCCAAGCACCCCAGCCTAGCCTGGATCCCCCTAGGTGGGCAGGGGGCAGAGGAAGCCCTGGCGGGGCCGCAGAAGCCTATGGATGCCACCGTCCTGGGAACCCCTGGGCTGCTGGGAAGGCAGGGAGAGACAGGTCACCCTGGGCAGTTCCTGCCCCTGGGCCAGACTTCAACGCTAGGTCACCTTTGCTGGAGCTCCTGGCCCCTCAGTCCCCCCATGTCCTCCACACCTTGGCTGCAGAACCCAGGTGTTCTGAGCGTGACCCGCTGGGTGTCCTGTTCCATTCTGTGCAGGAGGCTAGCAGACACCCACCATGAAGACGGGCAGCCAAGGGAGCACCCAACGTCCAATGGCTAGGTCACAGGTCATCATGACCCCGGCTCTTCACAGGGGTCCAGAGAGGCTGCAGCCACGTGGGCTTGGTGGCACAGAGCCCAGGGTCTGAGCACTGACCGCCACCTCCTCCTCCAGGTGCACATGAGGACCAGACATGGGCCAGCAGGTGCCACAGACGTGATGTCAGCCCAGGAGCTTGTGGCCTGCCTCTGCCAGGAGGGCGACCAGCACCTGGCTCTAGGGGAGCCACCCTTGGCCACAGCTTTCTACCTGGCAGCCTTCAGCTGCCACGCCCCCTCAGCCCTGAGGAGCGTGCGGGCAGCCCTGGCTGAGGCCCGGGGAGCCCCTGTGGTAGCCACCCTGGAGGCCTGGTGCCGCGGGGACAGCCAGATTCCAGCTGTCCACTGGGATGGCATGGCAGTGGCCTCACTGACAGGGGCCCTGGCCTCTGCCTTCCTAGGGGCCCTCTACCCAGACCACCCGGCCGCCGTGCTGCACTCGCTGGCCGGCCTGCTCGCCCATGGGCACCACGGGGAGGTGGTCCGGCGCTGCGATGCCCTGCTGGGCACCCACTCACAGCAGGCCCTGGAGCTGCAGCTGACTCGTGCCTTGGCCCTTGTCCTGTCTGGAGAGCCGGCTGGCGAGGGTGTGGCCAGCTACCTGCAGGCCTTCGCCACGAGCGCCAGCCGCACGGTGGCCTTCATCCGCACCCACCAGCAGCCCTACGTCCCCACACTGCTCCGCACCCTGTGGAGCCACGTCTCAGGGCACCCAAAGGCCACAGACAGCACTGGCCAGCAGGACACCCACTGCCAGGGGCTCCTGGCAGCCCTGGCCCCCGAGACCCCCTGGAGCGACACCCTCTCTCCTGAGGCCCTGCTCCTCCGTGGCAGCTATGAGGAATGCTTGGTGGCGAGCAGCCGAGCCCTGCAGTCTGACCTGACAGGCGGTGGACCCCCAGGTAGGAGAGTGTCTTGCTCAATTTCTCTCCTTGATGGGACAATATACTCAATGCCCACAATTAAGGAAGAAAGGCTTATTTAGCTTACAGTCTGTGGAGGTTTCAGTCCACAGTCAGCTGGCTCTAAGGCAGAGTGTCTGTGGCAGAGGGCAGAGGCCCAGGGCAGCCGAGGGGCGTCGGTCTAAGGTGGCCAAAGACAGCAAGAGCAAAGGGGGAAGCGAAAGGGACAACAGCGCCAGCCCCTTTCCCTCCCTTAGTCGTGAGCAGGCTGCTGCCCCCAGGGCCGGTGTAGCATCACGCCATCTCCAAGCCCTCCCCTGGAGCAGGTCAGGATGTTCATAAATTGGGGACCCTGGCCCCCTGCAGAGTGGCTTAGACCTCTAAACTTCTCAAGTTGACACCATGTATCAACCATCACAGACAGCCTCAACTCCCACCAGGGCCAGCCACACTAAACACTACTGTGGTGGGCTTGTGCAGGGGCTGGGGACACCAGAGGGAGGCGACAGTCAGGCCTCCCTGCAGAGCTCCCAAGACAGGGTCCAAAACAGCCCTCGCTTTGTAAGGGGTCCTGCGAGGTGCTGCTCCAAGGGGACAAGGGACTTCAGGGAGAGGGTGGCAAGTGAGCGAGTGGACAGCGAAGGAGCCTGGGGAAGAAGCCAGGTTGCTGAGGTCCTGGGGAAGACAGGGCTTGGAATGTCCTCGCTGCCAAAAGGGTGGGAGGGGCCAGTGAAGTGGGGGGCATGCTGCAAATGGCTGCAGTGGCCACGTCCTGCTGGGTTCCCAGGGACTTTGGCTTTGCCCTCAGAGCCACTGAAGGCTGAAAACAGCAGTGGGAGGGCTCAAAACTAGTGCTGAGCATGTTCTAACCAGAGAGAGCATAGAACCTGCTGGGATGGGGGCAGAGGGAGTGCTGAGAGACCAGGGAGATGCGGGGCCTGGGGCGGGGTTCAGAAGGAGACCATGGGCTTCACACCCAGGAGAAAGTGCTGCACTGGGCCAATGAGCAGGAGCCGTTGCTGCTGGAAAGGAGACGGGGCAGGTCTGGGGTGGGGAGGTGGGGACGGGGAAGGAAGGTGGGGAATGGAGTCTGCTTGGAACCCAGCCTAGGGGCAAAGCAGACAGCAAAGGGGGTGTCAGGGTTTCCGACACCCCAGGGCATCGCCAGCTTTCTGCCTGTGTAACACAGGGTCTGAGATGGCCAGGTGCGAGAGGAGGTTTGGAGGGCTCTTCTACAGCCCTGAGGGCATTTGAGGGACAGAGAGGGGCCGGGACACTGCCAGATGTGGGCACACAGCACAGGCTTGCTGCAGCCTCCACGAGGGGTGCGGGAGGAGCCACTGGAAAGTGAGTGGGGAAATTTGTTTCTGAGGCTAAATCAGACCCGAAACCCTGAGCCCGTTCCCTCAAGCTGTAATTATCAGAAAATGCTCACTGGAGTAACCAAGACTCCAGAGCCGGGAGAGGTGGGACTCCAGCACCCAAGGACAAGCTCGCAGTCACTGAGGCCTAGGCTGTGCAGCCACCAGGGAGGAGCCTCGCTGCTGGATGACTGTGTAGGACCAGGGGTGCCCTGCGAAGCACAGCAGAGATCCAGAACCCCAAAGAGCTACCACCTGGGACAGTGAGTGCGCCAGGAAAGACTAGCCGCTGGGGAGGCTGCTGCCTGTGCTGGCGTCTGCCTGGCTCCCACGAGGACGGGGGTGGGGGCTTCCCTGGGAAGCCCATCATGTCGCCAGGCCAACCACCAAACGCGGTTATCATGGGAAGTACAGAAATGACCCTCCCGTAAGCATCAGGGCATGTAGGCGCACACGTGTGACACCAGGGTACAGGAAGAACCCAGTGCAGCTCGCACATCCTGGCACCCAGCAGGCGGGCCTGTGGCACCGGGGCTCCCCAAGGGCCTGCCCCCCAGAGGTACCACCCTTGCACACTGGAGGGTCTTCATAACAACGGCAGGTCGGGTGAGCAGTGCAGCCCAGGATCCAGCTCCTCCCAGCAAGGGCAGAAGTGGGCCTAGCTCTGTGACTTCTGGGCCAGTGGAATGTGGTGGAGGTGACGCTGTGTGGGGACCAATCCCGGTTGAGAACAACGGGAAATGCCGTGCCAGGCCACTTTCTGTTAGGCAACGAAATGCCGGAAGCAATCAACTTCAAGAGAGGGAAGGTTCGTTTGGGTTCTCAGTTTTGGAACAGCTCCTGGTGAGGTGACCCTGAGGCTCTGGGCCTGTGTGAGGTGACACATGGTAGCATGAAGTGTAGGGGAAGCTGCTCCCATCATGCGGCTAGGGAAGTGAGAGCCAGGGGCGTCCAGGCAGTCCTCCAGGGGCCCCAGGCTTCCAAGGAGGCTCCATCTCCTGGAGGCTGCAGGGCTCCCAGCAGCGCTGCAGACGGGCACTCAGCTTCAGCTCTGGGCCCCAGGGCAGCTTCTCCAGCTGCTGCAGAGGCTCTGGGGGCACACACACGTGCGGCAAGGCCCGCAGGATCCCACCCACGCTGTGCAGCCCCCAGTGAGCCCAGGCCAGACCCTGGAGGAGCTGCCCGGGTCAGCCCAGCCCATGCGGGAGCACCGTGGCAATGGGACGGGCTGCCACCTGAGGCTGCTTTGTGGTGGTCCTTACGCAGCAGTCCTTGTCTGATGTACCTCTGACCGGCCAAAGCATTGGCTTTCTCCAACTGTCACATAGTAAGTGTGTAAACGTACAGACTAGGTGCCCAGCTAGCTCAGTCAGTAGAGCATGAGACTCTTAAATGTACAGACTAGAATGTGATTGTTGGATACGTGATGCACGTGTAGTGTCACCGGAGTCACTGTTCTGGATCGCCTCAGACTCTCACCACTTATTCCTGCTGAAGCACTCAAAACTCTCTTCTACCCATTTTGAAATGTGCAGTACATCGCCATTGTCAAGAACCAGGGCCCACTGTCCCCAAAAATCAGTCAATCAAGCCAGTAACGAGGCAGTTTCCCCCCCTCCCGCTTGTCATCCTGAACTAGAGATTTGAGCAGAGGCACCGTGATAAGAGAACAGAACGAGTAAGCCTAGAAAGGAAACCGAGGGGCTGGTGAGATGGCTCAGTGGTCTAAAGCACCTACTTGGACCAAGCTTAGCAAACACAGGGACCTCGGTTCAATCCCCCAGCACCACATGCCAGCCAGCCCCGCCCCCTGGTGGGATGAGCTGGCCACACACACACACACACACACACACACACAAATAAAAATTTAAAAAATAAATAAATAAATAAAAGTATTATTAAAAAAAAAAAAAAGGAAACCGCACAGCCAGGCATGGTGCACATGCCTGTAACCCCAGCACTCAGGAGGCTGAGGCAGGAGGACAGCTGTGAGTTCAAGGCCAGCCTGGGCTACATAGTGAGTTCAAGGCCAGTCTAACCACATAGCGAGACCTTGTATAGAAAGCAAGCAAGCAAGCAAGAAAGAAAGAAAGAAAGAAAGAAAGAAAGAAAGAGAATGAAGATATCACCATTCCAGACAATAAGATTAGCTGTCTAGAAACTTCAAAGAACACAACCCAAAAGTATTAGATGTGGTGAAAGAATTCGATGGGCCTTCCAAATTCACTTGCATGCATCAACACCAGGAATAAATGGAAATTCTATCATTTTAATATAGTTACCATAGCAGCAGAAAATCATCTCTCTTTTTTTTGTATTTTAGGGAAGGTCTACAGGGTGTTCAGGGTCTCGCTACCAGATCAGAGTCATAGTGATCCACCTGTTTACAGCCTCCCAAGAGCGGGGGTTACAGGTGCGTGCCGCCACGCCCAGTCTCAATTGCTGTCTCAGCACGCCCTGGGGATGGGGCAGAAAATCATCTTGTTTGAAGAATCACATGATTTTATGGAGAAAATCATAAAACTATTTAAAAAGAAAATCTGAAAAAAAAAAAAAAGAAAAGAAAATCTGGGGCTGGTGAGATAGCTCAACAGACTAAGCGCCTGCTTAGGCAAGCACAGGGACAGGGGTTCGATCCCCTGTACCACGTGCTGTGCCAGCCCCACCTGGCCACTGAGTCAGGGCATGGTGGGACACGCCTGTAATCCCATGCTGGGGAGGCTGAAAACAAGAGGATCACTACAAGTTCGAGCTGTGTAGTGAGACCCTGTACAAAGTCCATAAATTTTAAAAAGAAAACCTGTATAAATGTAAAGACATGCAGTGTCTGCTGTTAGATTTGATATGTAAATCAAGGCCAAGGGGTCAATAATGACAAAGACACAAAAGAAGGAAGAGGAAGAGGAAGGGGGGAGGAGAGACCAGCAGAAGAGGGGGAAGGGACGATGGCGGAGGGAGGGAGAGCGTGCTGTGAGCAGAGCCCGAGGAAACCAGCGGGAGTCCAGAAAGAGACCCACACGCATCTAAAGCCTCGCGCGTCAGAGTGGGCACTACAAGCATCTCGGGCACCAGACGACCATGAGCCAGAGGACCACGCTCACTTCCTGCCTCATGCTACGCAGAAAAGAAAGTCTCCAGTGGAGTCTATCAAAACTGAATTTCAGTTTCTGGAAGAAAATACAAGGGAATATTACGAAGATGTCTGTGTACAGTTGGGCATCTTAAGACACAAAAAGTGGAAACAATAAAGACAGATTTGACATTAGATTTTATTACATTCTTGAAGCTTTGTTTTGTCCATAACTATAGCAAAGGAAAGGACAATCCCTAGGGGAAAAGCAACTTCCAAATACACAATGGGTAAAAAATTAGTATGCAGAGTAACTGGAGTTCCTTCATATTGATAAGAAAAATCCAATAAAAGAATTGGCAAAAACAACTCCCAAAAGAGAAAACACAGATGGCTAATAAAACATGTGAAAAATACTCACCATCATGGTAATGAGACAAATGCTAATTAAAACAATGAGAAACTATTTTCTTCCTACCCACCAGATTGGAAAAAAATTAATGAACCTCCTGAGTAATTGGGAAAATGAAATTTTAAACAATGGGATAGCACTTTACCCTCCCTGGGTGTCAGAGCTGCTGAAGCTAATAATAGAAGATCTGGCTCCTCGCGCAGGCGGCAGAGCTCGCCTGGATAGGCGACCCAAAGACACCGGCCTCAAACGGACGAAATAGCAACAGCAGCTATTTGAAGGCACTGGACAGTAGCCACATGCAGGCAGGCCGGAAACTGTGCCTGGAAAGGCGGGGATGTGGGTGGGGAGGGCTACGCTTGGAGCTTCTGATGAAGAAAGAGGTAAGTGGAGGACGAGGAGGAAGAGCAAAAGAACACAATGGAAACCCTAGAATTGAAAAGCCTAATAGCTGAAATGAAAAAACATCAGCATACCAGAGAAAGCAGAGTCAGCAACACCGAACGGTCTGATATAAAGAGCAGAAGAAAAATAAGGAGAACAGTGGAGACCCAAGGAGCAGTACCAAGACATCGCCTGTGCGTAAATCAAGTCTTAGGAAGAGAGGCCACAGTTCCGTGTGAATGACTGGCTGTACCCCACCAGCCCCAAGGCTCTCCCACTCTAACTCCTTAGATTTACAAGCTATTGCAAAACTCAGGGCTACAGGCCTTTCTGTACTCCAGTCAACCACTGCTAGGGAGGACTCAACGTTTCTCTGGCTTTAGCTACTAGGACCAGAGAGGGTGACCTTGTAATCAGCCACCAGGACTACACCAGGGAACTTTGTTTGTTTGGTTGGGTGGGTGGGTGGGTGGGTGGGTGATTAGTTGGTTAATTAATGGTTGGTTGATTACTTGTTAGTAGAATAATTCATTGACTTATTCATTGGCTCATTGGTTGGTGTGTTAATGGTTGTTGGTTAGCTCACTGGTTGGTTAGATAATTCATCGGTTGTATGGATGGCTCATTGGTTGGTTGGCTAGCTGACTGCATGGGTCACTGGATGGTTCACTGAGTGATTGGTTCATCGGTCCACCTCGGAGTACAACACGCTTTTTTCCCTTTCCTCTGTGACCCTGCTTACAATTAATCCCCACCCTCATGCAGGAGAGGAAACAGTCATGGTAGGTTCTCAAAGCGCTAAGAGCACCCATTCAGCAGCACCCTTCTTGGGTGGGATACAGGAGAACTTGTGTTCCAGGGAGGGAACTCAATGGGGTCCCTCCCAGGACCCTAGGAAGGCAGGAACAATGGTGCCCAGGAGCAATGGCCCCCCAAAAGTCAGCCAGTACTTAGCTCGGACCTTGGGGGGAGGGGTGCTAAATCCCCGAAGAGGAAACTGAATCCTAAAATCGACCATTACAAAGTGGGGTAGAGAAAGTGGACCTACACTTCCACCAGGGCTGAAAGGTAAGCCTCGGGCACCTTGCTGGGGCCACTGAAGCGCTGCCTGCCGTCCCTGGTTCGGAACCTGGCTTTCATCCTGTCCGCTCACTGATGGACGTGGGAGGGATCTAACCCTGGGGTTCTTGGGGGGTGGAGAGCGACACCCCAGGAGGAGAGGTCTGGCTGGGCAGGTCAGCGCCTGTTTCTCTCCCCAGGGGAGCGCCGGGCCACCCTGCTGGTCACTCGGGCGGCAGCTGCCTTGCTCACGGGTGGCCGGGCCCCGGATGTGCTGCAGGACCTACACGAGGCCTTCCGCGAGAGCCCCTGCGCGGCGCGGCGCCAGTTCCAGGCGGTGCTGTCAGCCGCGGACCAGGAGCGCGTGCGGTCCCAGGCGCAGGAGGCCGCCGACCAGGGCTTCGCCCGCTTCCAGGAAGCCGTGCGTGGCCGCCGCGAGCTCCGAGAGGACGTGGGCCGCGAGCTGCTGGCGCCGGTGACCTGCGCGCTCCGCGTGCTGCTCCGCGTGGCGCCACCCGGGGCAAGACCCGCGCTAGGCACCCGCCTGGTTGAGTGCCTCCTGCTGGCCGGGGACGTGGCGGGGGCGCGCGCGCTGGGCGAGCGCCTCCTGCGGCCACGGCGCGCTGGGGACCGAGCTGGGGAGCGCGCGCCCCTGCTGGCCCTGCGCGGCTTCTGCGCGCTGCACAAGGGCGACGTGGGGCGGGCTCGCGAGGACTTCCAGGCGGTAGTGGCGCGGGGGCCGCCGTCCCCCGAGGGCTGCACACGCGCGCTGTGCGGCCGGGGGCTCGTGCGCGTGCTGGCGGGCAGCGCGTTCCTGGGCGCGCTCGACTATGTCACCGCGTGCCGCCTGCGGCCGGAGGAGGCGCTGCTGACCACCAAGTCCCTGGTGCCCTGGAACCAGCGTGGGCTGCTGCGGACCGTGCTGCGGGAGGAGGCCCACAAAATGCTGCTGCGATCGCGGGCTCTGGGCTGCCGGGGCCGGGCCGAAGCCACGCGCGGGCCCGGGGCGCAGGAAGGGTGAGAACAACCGCGGACCTGGCAGGACGGAGGGGCGTGTGTCCTCCAGTCTTACAGATGGGTAAACTGAGGCACAGCGGCAGGGTGAGTTCCCAAAGCCTCTGCGGCGATTCAGCCCCAGGCTTAGCCCTTAGGACCCTCAGACTCGAAAGAACATGCTGCACTGTGGACGAACCCCACAGAAAACCAGAGACTCAGGCCAAAGTAAAGCTCCTGCACCAGCCCTGTTAGCACTCCCTTCTACAGAAAACCTAGCGCACAGCATGAAGTCGGCCCTGGGAATGTAGTTCACAGTGCCCGTGTGCTGGCAGAGAGACTCGGGGAAAGAAAGGGTACAGGCCAAGAGGGTGAAGAGAGTTGCCAGAAGGGCCGGCCAGGAGTTCTGGCCCAGCCCTCCCGGCAGATGGAAGGGACAGGGAGGGAGCCCTCCCACCTGTAGCCCCTCTCGCCACAGGGACGCGCTTGGTGTGCACCAGCTGGCCACGCTGCTGGTAGAGCTGGACCCAGAGGATGAAGCCTCATGCCTCCTGGTGGCTGACGCCCTATACCGCCTGGGCCGCCTGGACGACGCCCACAGGTCCCTGCTGGTGACCCTGTCCCGGAGGCCCCAGGCGGCAGCAGTGCTGGTACGGCTGGCCCTGCTGCAGCTGCGCAGAGGATTCTCCTTTGATGCCAACCAAGTGAGAAGGACTGGTGGCTGAGGCGAGAAAAAAAAAAAAAACAGGGCCTGGCTCAACAGAGGGCACCGGGCCTCCAGAGGCCTGCCCTGTACCCTTTGGTAAACCTTGCTCAGCCCCAGCTCTGGTGTGGCCATAGACCTTTGCTCCTGTGACCCTTGGTCACCTTCCCACTGCCTGCTCTCCAAAGGCGTCATGGGAACCAGTCCCCACTCTACCTGGTGCCTCAGGTGATTCCTGTTTGCTTTAGCTGTGTTATGAAAAGAAAGGGCCAAGCACAGAACATAGGCTGAGCTTCTCCCAGGCTTCCACATAAACCACGCATGGACTTGATCCTGCCTGGGGTGGGGACCCCGCAGCAGAGGGGCCCTAGGCCCTTGGCTATTCCTGCAACCCCCCTCCCAGGATGGCAGAGCCTCTTGGCCTCGTCCGTTTGCACAGAGGTCAGCAGGTGATACTGAGGACGTTCAGGCTTTGGTGTGCAGGCTCAGCGACCCACCAGCCCCTTCCCTCCCCTTGCTCCTGGACTAGACCCTGCATCCCAGAGGGAAAAGGTGGGAAGGAAGGACACTCAGAACTCGCTGTCCTACTCTGCCCAGGACCAGCAGCTGCCCCAGCTGCATTGGGCCTCCCCTGGGAGCCACCTGGGGGTCCCACCTGATCAGAGCACAGCCTGAGCCTGCTGGTCTGGGCTTGGCTCTAAGCACCTCCTGAACCTCCATCCCTTGATGGTCTGAGAGCCCCTTCCTCCTGCTCATCACTTGGTCCCTTGCTAGGTAGGGTCACTGAAGCTGGTCTCTGCCTCCTGTGACACAGGAAATGGCTGTGGTCAGGAGAGCCTCAGAAACCCATCTCCCACCCACTGCTGTCTTTTCCTGCACTCTATGCTGGGGGCAGTCCCTGAGTTCTGAAGCCTCCACTCCATCAGGAGATAGGGAATGAAATACCTTCAGATGGCCAGGGCTGCGATTCAGCTGTCTTAGTGCCTGAGAGACAGGAAGCCACCAGAGCTCTTGGGACAGGGTGAGGAGCCATATGTGCTGGGGAGACAGCAAGGGGGAGAGGGGAACAGAGGTGGTGACTCTGCTTCTGTCCCTCAGCTGGTGAAGAAGGTGGTCCAGACTGGGGACACGGCCTGCCTCCCGTCCACACTGGACATCTACAGCCATGAGGACCGGCAGCTGCTGCAGGACCACTGCCACGCGCGGGCCCTGAGCATCCTGCGAGCGCGGGCTTCTGGGGCAAACAGCAAGGCCCACACCCGGGAGGCCATCGCCTACCTGTCTCTGGCCATCTTTGCTGCAGGTAGGACCTCCTTACCTGCGCCAGCTACATGGGGCCCAGGGGTCTGAGGACGAGGAGCAGACAGGTGGGCATGATGCATCCACCCCTGGGTGGCAGCACACGGTGCTGCCCTGCTCCCTCCCTGGCATGGGCCTGCCCCTTGCAGTCCTGTGCCTTGGTGCCCAGTGAAGCGTGAACCCCCTATTGAGCACTGGGGGACACTGGCTGCCCTGTCCTGCAGGGCGTGAAGCCAGTGAGCCCCTCCTGGTCCGGGCCCGCTGTTACGGGCTCCTGGGCCTGAAGAAGACTGCCATGTTCGACTTCAACTCCGTGCTGCGGGCCGAGCCTGGGAACGTACAGGCCCTGTGTGGACGTGCCCTCGTGCACCTGGCCCTGGACCAGCTGCAGGTGCTGGGCCACCCCCCACCTGGGGTGGGGGCAGGGCACCACATCCTCCTCCAGCTGAGGGCAGCGAGCAGGTCCAGGCCACCCCAGGCAGCAGGGTGTCCACTGGATCCCCATTTCTTCTCCCCACATGCACCACAGTAGCAAGAGCTGCACCTCAATACACCCACTTTCTGGGAGTCCGATCCTCCCATGGCCCAAACCTTAATATGCAGGGAGAGACATACATGCCCTCAGGTGACGATGAGACCCAAAGTCTTGAGGTGTCTTTAGCTGCATTGGTGGGGACTACACGGACCCTTGTGCTGAAAAGGGTTTATAGCACAGGTGCAGAGGAATGAGTGCTGGCACTGATTAGTCATGTCTGCCACGGGCACAGCAAGGGAGTCCATGGGACTCGGATCTAAGTGAGGTATCCCTCATTTAAGATATTCTATAGAAACTGCAGCAATTCAAATTAAAATGTTGAGGGCCAGGCTGGTGGGAAGAGAGATCCCATTCACGAGGTAGGAATCTTTTAGTGGGATGATCCCTGTTTGCAGCTACCCTGTGTGCTGCCTGCTCTCACCTCAGGGTCCCCATGTAGGTCTGTGTCCCCTCCCTGGGCTGCTTCCAAGCCCAGACCTGGGGCCTGGTCCAGGGAGGGAACCCAGACACACTGCTTCCTCTCATGCCTCGGTCTCTTCTGTAAAAGGAGGGGTGTGAAGCCAATGAGTAAAGAAGGCACGAGGAGAGATGGATGAAAGCCTAGGCCACCAGACCCAGCTGGCATCGACAAGCAGGGCATGGGAGAATCAGCGCTACGATGCTTAGGGTAAAACCCAAAACCGATCTCAACTTACAACCTAAGCAACTAGGAAAAGAGCAAGCTAAACCTCCAAGCAAAGGTAAACAAAATTGATGAAAGAAAAATAATGGAGGAAATCAAGGAAACCTAAAAGTCAAAATTGGCAAACCTTCAACTAGATAGAGAGAGCTCAAATTACAAAGTCAGAAATAAATTTTTTTTTAAAAAGTCAGAAATAAAAATGGAGACGTGGGGGCCAGGGAGATGGCTCGGTGGAATAAGCACTTCCCTGGCAAGCCCAAGGGCCTCAGTTCAATCCCCAGTTCTGCCAAAAAAAAAAAAAAAAAAAAAAAAAAAATTAAATTTAAAAATAAATAAATAAAAATGGAGACATGACTACCAATTCTAGAGAAATAAAAGCAATCATAAGGGTGAAGGGCTGGGGATGTGGTTCAGGGGCAGAGTTCTGGCCTTGCATGCTCATGGCCCTGAGTTCAATCACCAGTACCCTGGAACAGAAGGGGGCACTGTGAATGACAAGATAATCCAGCTGAAATGGGCACAGCTGAACAAAGAGGCAAAACCTGCCCAGGCTAAGTCATAACGAGATAGCAGAACCCAAATAGACCTACAACTAGTAGGACAGCACATCTGAGACCAGAACACTCCCACAGACAACGAGCTCTAGACCTCAGAGCACCACTGAAGAATTCATCTAATGTTTAGAGAATTAACACCAATCCTTCTCGAACTTTTCTTTAAAACTGGAAGAACCAAGAGCACTTCCTCTTTCTGAGCCCAGAACCAGACAAATGCTACAAAAAAAGCAAGCTACAGACCGATGCTACTTGGGAGCACTGTGCTGACGCCCTCGACGGAACAGCCACACAGCCTCCCAGCACAGGGAGAGGCCCACACTCCACCGCCAAGCGGGGTTCATCCGTGGGCGGTGAGGGTGCTCCACGTGGCAGCTGGCCAGCGCATTACGAAGGGGAGGCACTTTGCCACCCCTGCTGCACACGGGGGGGAGTCCTAGCCAGAGCACCCGGGCAGAGAAAAGAAACAGAGGCCGTCCAGCTGGAGGGAAGGAAGTAACTGTGCCGTCCGGGCTCCCCATGGTCAGGTCACATGTGCAGAAGAGCCTCAAGAGTCTGTGAAAACCTGGTGGAACTAGCAAGTAAACCCAGCCAAGTGGAGGGATGGATCAACACACAAAAAAGCTATATTTTATACAGTAGCGGTGGACAATCTGAGCAGAAAATTACGGGGGAAATTCCATTTACAGCAGTATCAAAAATAATATTTCAAAATTAACCAAGAGATTAAAAACATAAATGGAAATATATTCCACATTCATGGATAAAAAGACTTAATACTATTGTCAATATTATCCAGTTATCTAGATTCAGTGTAATCCCTACAAAATCCCAGTGATGAGTTTGCTTCTGTTTTTGTTTTTGTGGTATCTAGCATCAAACTCAGGACCTTGCGCTTGCCAAGCAGGTGCTTATGCCACTGGGCTATCTCCCCAACCCCAAAGATGTTTTTGCAGCAATAATAATAAATAATAAAACTCTTCCTAAATTCACATGGAGTCTACAGGAACCCCTAATAGCCAAAACAATCCTGGCCAAAGCTGGGGGACTCCACTTCCCGAGTCTAAACTCACCACAACGCTGCTGTTATTGTAACCGCATGACATGGGCAGGAGACTGACATATCGACCAACAGAATGGAGAGTCCAGGACAGAACCTTCACATACAGAACAAAAGGATTTTCAGTAAGATGCCAAGACCATTCCACAGGGAAAGAAACACAGCTTCCGTGGACAGCGCTGGGAAAGCACACGCAGAGCACTGAATCTGGGCCCTGACCTCATACCATCTACAGAAATTAACTCAAAGTGGGTCACAGACCTCAACAGGGAAAGCCTAAAGCTGGACCTCTCCGAGGGGAAGGCACAGGGGAAAGCGTCAGGACTCTGGGTTTGGTGATGGCCACGCAGCTGTGTACCAAAGGCACAGGTGACAAAAAATAATGGGCAAATTGGACTTCTGAAGAAATTTAGAGGGACTGGGGAGATGACTCGGTGGAAGAAAGAAGGAAGGAAGGAAGGAAGGAAGGAAGGAAGGAAGGAAGGAAGGAAATTAATTTAGACACCTTGCATATCAAAGGACACTATGAATAAAGTGAAAAGACAACCAGAGAAAATATTTCCAAATCATGGACCTGATAAATGATTCCTGTTCAGCGTACACAGAGAACTAGAGGGAACAAAAAGAACTCAATTCAAAAATGAGCTAAGGGGGCCGGGGAGATGGCTCACTAGGATAAGCACTTGACTGGCAAATGCAAGGATCTGAGTTCAATCCCCGGTTCCACAAAAAAAAAAAAAAAAAAAAAGAGCTAAGGCCAATAAAGGAATAAAAATAAAACACCAAAAATTAACCCCAAAAAGTAGACCAGGAAGACAGGCACACACAGGTCAACCAGGAGACGGCAGCAGGGAGGTGGGGGCAGCGGTCCCTGTTGGCCCAAGTGACTTTCCCTGACCAACTCACTCAGTGATCTCCAAGGCCCTGTGTGCTTCCGGGGCCTGCTCAGCGCTGTCGAGAGCACCAAGTCCTGGGGCAGGACCTCCCTCTGTCCTCCAAACCTTCCACCCACCATTGTGCTGCTCTGACCCTTCTCTGGACCCAATGCAACGCCCTAGGCACTGACAAGGGACACCTGATCATCACCCCCTACCAGGATGACAGGCCACCCACAGAAGAGAGCTGCCAGGGACCGGGCTGCAGGCCACTGACCTCTGGAGCCTGAAGCCAGGGGCTGATGGCTGGACACAGGGTCAGGCCTCCCAGAGGGGTAGACAACCCCAGTAAAGGACCCCAGAGGTCTTCAAACGCCTGACCAGGAGGAGTAGCAGACTGCAGCCAGGGACAGCAGAAAGGGGCAGGAAGCAATGGGTGGGAGACCTCTAGGACTCCAAGGTGAGAACCCGACAGCCCTGTCCTGCTCTGCCCCCTCCCCCACAGGAAGCAGTGGACAATGTCGCCTCAGCCCTGAGACTCGATCCAGGGGCCGTGGTCACTGAGCTCCGCTCTCTGAAGCCAGAAGCCCAGCAGCGGTTCACTCAAGGCCTCCACGCCCACTGCCGGGCCCTCTTGAGCCAGCTGCTGGACACCAGGACAGCCCTTGCAGACGAGGAAGCTCATGGCCTCCTTGCCATGGGAGACGCACTGGCCACAGTGGATGCTGCACAGCCAGCCTGGCATATCTTCCTCACAGACATCCTCATGGCGCTGGGTATGGGTCGCCCAGGTCCAGGGATGAGGCATCTGGCCCACACCCCTGACCCTCTGTATTCTTTCTGCAGAGCAGAACAGGGAGCCCCAGACTGCAACCACCACTGGCTCTTCCACCCTAGTCCCATGGCTACAATCCCCATGGGGCCTGCGGTGAAGCCACTGTCCCTCTCTTCCAGCACCAGGCTAGGAGAGTGAGGGCTTCATACAAGGGCTGCCCCCCAGCCCTCAGTCACTAAGTCAGCAGCTGGTGCAGGGAGGCCAGGCCTGGCCTGGGCCCAGGTGTGCACCAGGTGTTTTCTTTCCTACCAGCCCACATCAGCTGCAGCTGGGCAGATGCTCCATCACTCATTCAGGGGGGCCTCTCTGCAGTCCGTGCCTGCTCCCCAGGACTGCAGGGCGCCTCCGCACCCCTGCTGCTCTGCTCAGGGGCCCAGTCTTGCTCTCAGAGCTCAAACAAAGCCACGGCTGTGGGGACCTCCTGGAAGATCAGAGCCTGCTGCCCCTTCTGGGAGTCCCGGGGAGGGGACTGCGCACAGCCTCCAGGCATGCAGCCGCTCTGTCCTGGGACTGAGCATCCTCCAGCCAGCCCTGGGCAGTGAATGCAGTGACAGCTTCCCAGGGCCATATGTCCCACCCTGTGGCCCCTGCCCTGTGCTGACCACTCTTCCTGGGTCCCCTCAGGCAGGTATGAGGAGGCTGGCGCCCACCTGCAACCAGCCCTACAGGCCTCCCCACCATCAGCAGCAGCCAGGGCCCGGAGGGGCTTGCTCCAGATCAAGCAAGGGGACGTGGCCACCGCTGCTCAGGACCTGCAGTGCCTGGCAGAGACAGATGCCCGGGACCTCAACTTCCTGCTCCGTCTTGCGCAGCCCTCGGAGCGGCAGAGCCTCACCCAGGTGTGCAGGACATCCACAGCCCCGTTCAGGCTCCTCCCACGTCCACTCAGGCCCGGAGCACAGGCTCTGACAACAGAGGGACTCAGGGTCACCCTCCAGACCTCCAAATGCCCTCGCCCCTCCCCGGGTTCCAGCAGTCAGAGCCAGCAGGAAACAAGCCACACAGGGGTTTTCAGCAAACCCTGCTGGACATTTCAGTGAACCCCACTGGGCGTTTCAGAAGAAAGCCGCTGGCCGCCGGGTGTTGGGAGCTTCCTCCCGCAGGAGAGCGCAGTGGCTGCGACGGTGTGGGGAGAACCGAGGGGGTCTCAAAGCTCTCAGGAGGGAGCCGGCCACCTGGAGGGGCTGTGAGGTCTCGGAGAGCAGCTCTGGCGGGGGAGCAGGCTCCGGAGCAAAGGACTAGAGGGGGCGCCCGGCAGCTGGCAGCTGCGCAGGGGAGGGCGCGGGGGTCCGGGCCCAGCGGCGCTGGGAGGGCCCCGAGAGGGGCGTCCCAGAGCCCCGAGGCTCGGGCGGAGGGCCCAGAGCACCGAGGAGCGCAGGCTGGGGCTGCGGGGCGTGAGGAGCAGAGCTCCCGAAGCCCGAGCCTGACTTGGCTACCTCGACTGCCGGAGAAGCCCAGGCCACCGGGAAGCGGGCCGGAACCGCCGGCCGCGCTTCCTGCTGGCCTGCCCCGCCCCGCGGGTGGGTGTGCGTGTCCGGCCGGCCGGAGTCCGGCTCGCTGGCTTGCTCTAAATTGCATCCCTGTGCCTTCGCGCGGCCCCAGCCTCCTCGCTGCGGTGCGGCCCAGCACCTAGGGATGGGGCCCGGGCTGCTGGAGGAGCCCTGTGCGTCCCGGTCACCAAGGAGAACCCCTTGGTGCAGCGGCGCTGCACCCGCCCCCTACCTTGGGGCGGCCAGCAGCAGCCTACTATACGCGGGGCAGACGCGAGCTGGGTGCTGTCCTGGGCCTAGCGACCTTGGAGTGGGCTCTGCGGGCGATGGGCGGGCCTGGGCTGATGCTGCTCCTTCCCTCCTGTCTTCTGCGCAGGTCGCGGCCCAGGAAGCCAGCAACCTCTTGGCCACTGGGCAGCCCGGGCAGGCGCTAGGCTACTGCTCACTGGCCGTCCTGGCTGGGGGCAGCCTTACCTGTCACCTGCGTCTACGGGCCACCTGCCTGAGCGAACTGCAGCAGTATGGCCGGGCCCTCAGAGACCTGGACCGAGTGCTACAGGAAGGTGCGGGGGATGGTGGCCTGTCGGGACAGGCAGAGGACTTCTGCTTCAGGGGCCGCCTGCTGCTAGGCCTGAGGGACAAGGAGGGGGCCGCCGGGGCCTTCGCCCGGGCCCTCGAGCTGTCACCTGCGCTGGCCCGGCGCAGCCTGCGGGAGCGGCCAGGTCAAGCCCCTACTGCCCGCGTGTTCCTGCATGTTGGGCAGCGCTGCCTGGAGGAACAGCGCTACGAAGAAGCCTGGACAGCGGCCCGGAGTGGCCTCCTGGTGGACCCCGAGCATAGTGGCCTGAAGAAGCTGAAGGCTAGAACCCGGAGAGACGCACCCTCCAGCTGCCGGCTGCACTGATGCAGCCATCCTCTGCCCGGCCTGACCATAGGGACCCCGCTTTCTTCACCTTGGGGTGAATGCAGCAGCTCCCAGAGCACTGAGCTGCCCTCCTGGCCAGCCGCCCACCAGCCCCAGCAGTCAGCCCACCCCTTTCCTTAGGAATTAAGGGCAGAAGGGGAGAGCTTCCCCGTGGCCAGAGCCCTGCCCCCCTGGTGCTCAGCCCCTACCAAGCAGGCAGCCTTGGGTGCCCATGGCCCAGGCTGTGCAGCTCACTGAGATCTGGCCCAGACCGGGGATCCTGAGGTGGCACCTGGGCAGCCCGTGGCCCTGGGGGAAAATGTGCCAGTACGGGGCCGGGGAGATGGCTCAGGGAATAAGCACTTCCCTGGCAAGCACAGGGGCCTGAGTTCAATCCCCGGTTCCACCAAAAAAGAAAGAAATGTGCCAGCACACATGGGCCCCCGGGGCACAGAGCTGCCTTTGACTCAGCCCTGACCTGAGCCCTACACGACCTCCCCACCCATGCTGCCACCCTGGCAGCTGGCCCTGAGCAGAAATCCCCCACCAGCACTCCCCCACAGCCACTCGCCCCCTTCCACAGAGGCCTCGGCTTCTGTTCAGCCTGCGTTCTGTCCACGAGGTCAGAATGTGTCCTTCCCGTGGATTAAACGTCCCTGACAGTGTGCTTTCTGCCAGTGTGTTTGGAAATTCTGGCCTTGCCCTTCCTGTCAGTATCACGAAGCAAGACCCTTGCTGGAGGGCTTTCACTGTGTCCCTGAGCCCGGGGAGCACTGAGAAGGCCATCTGGGTGTGAAGCAGCCCTCCCAGGGCCCCTACCTGCTTCTCCCCACCCTGGATAGTCACTGGCCTCTGCCTAGCCGCCCCCTCCTCGCCTAGGTACCACCTCCTCTCCTAGCCGCCCCCTCCTCGCCTAGG